AGTCAAACTAAACGATTGCCTTAAAAGGACCACAAAATAAAACGATAAAAGTTACTAAAAAGTATATTTAAAAAATATATATCCCTCATTTATAAGTTTTATAGCATCAGTATTAGAGACAAAAAGTCTGCTTTTAATTTTACCTATATATTTCATTATCAAAAAAGAGTAAACATGATTTAAAGGCTTCATCATCGTTGAAGAATTGGAATGTCCGAATATAAATGGAGGAATCATTAGCAGGTCAATGCACGAAGTGATAAGTAGTCGACGTATAGGTATATAGAGGTTGTATAAAAGAGAAGAGAGAATAGAAAAAGAGTAGCCAGTTGATGCTGGTTTATTGGGGTCTTATATCCTTGCGTTTTATTCCTTCCTAGGCACAGTGGTCCTTTCTCTTCAGAAACCCACCTAAATGTCGAGGGATCATGCTAAACGACGGGAGATGAAAGGAACCGACAAATTCAGTGGCGACCTATCATAATAATTTGGTTCGCTCGCGCCTCTTTGTATTAGGATAGAAAAGCCGACCATCTCTTGAGAAAAAGGGTCGGCCGACGGTGCTAAATTGAAGCTGAAAGGGTTCTAAAAAGCTTTTACTGATTTGGGAATACCGCGACGTAATCACGCGCTGGATCATTTATATATATATATATAATATACCATCGATGAGTCATTTTCTTCTTTTACGTTTCATTATCCTTTTATTTTTATTATATATATTCAATTAAACGTCTTCATTTCACTTCTTATATTGATAATTTCAATTTACATATTTTAGGATTATTTCACTTTTATAATATATAAACTCCTGCTTTCTGTTATTATTTTTATATTATGTCAATATTTGGCCTACTTTTTTCGACAACTATTTTTTTTACCTTTTGTAAAAAAAATTAGGAAGTTAACGGCACCAGGAGTTGGGAGTTAAAATTTTCGAGTTAAAAATCAACTCAACAAGAGAGTTATAATAATTAAAGAAACTCCTTAAAACCAACTCCCTAGGCATAAAATTAACTCGTAATGCATTAACTCCCTTCACTTCAACTCCAAAAGGGTGGGACTTTTATAGCATCCCCTAGGGAGTTGAAATTCAACTCCTTTTTTTACAGTGTAGAAATCATTTTTTTACATTAAGATTTTATTTAAATTCTGTGAATGTTTTTGAAAAATGTATCCTTTTTTCTATATAAAATAAAATTTAAATTTATTTCTTGAAGTAGGAACATAATATTATATGTTTTACAATGATTGCATATATGACTTTCTTTTGTGACCCAAATAATCCTGCAGAATTTTCAGTAGTTTTCAATGCTATATATATATATATTATTGAAACTACTGATTTTTTTTAGTTTAAATTCGATTGTTTGGGTTCATATTTCTTGTATTTTTTATTGTAGTTTAATTTATAATTTTAATTTGTCTTAACATTAAATATAATTATAAACAGAATAACTATAATTTTAATTAAAACATATATACTTCACTGAAAAAAAATATTTGTTTGACTATATTATCAAATAAATATACATATATTCATGAAGAATTTCTTGAAGAAAATTTTTCGTTTAAATATTTTTTTTTATTAAATAATAATTATTATTTGAGTTAATTAAATGGTATTTGTTTCAATTACATAAGAAATTATTGATACAAATACAATTTATTTACTTACAAATAAAAATTATTTGATTCAAGTAAATATTTATTTGATAATAGTCAAGTAATCGATAATTTGAATCAAATAATTTTTTTCACTGTTATTACCTAATTTTTAAAAATAAAAAAAAATATATATATATATATTGTTACATATTGTTACAGAGTTAACGAATTTTTTCTATTGTATCAATCCAATTATTTATTTTCTATAGATGCGAATTAATAAAAGCATGCGTTAGTCTAACATATGGAGTTTTTCACGCATATATTTATTGCATTATAGAATTTAATTCAATAAAATAAAATTAAAAAATTTTCTTTGAAACGCTGAGGAAAATATTTTTTTTTTTTTGATTTAATAAAAATATTTATTGTCTTTTATGTGAATTGTATATAAATGTGTTCCTCATATATATATTTTGATCATAATACATATATATATATATATATATATATATATATATATAATGTATTGCACTTTATTCTTTGTATACAAATGTTTATAAATACTCTTTATAGTCTATTATTTTATTATTATACACATATATCGTTTTGTTTTTTTTATTATATTAAAGCCACATTAACCTATGCAGTTAAATAGTCGTTTCCGTGAGAAAAGAATGAAAACATTTGAATATTGAAAAATGTAATGCTTTCTCTTGATGCATCAGTCTCATCATCATGCATGCTATATCAATAGCCTTATTCTCTCATTAATATACACTCCGCAGGACATGAAACCACAAAACCGCATAGACTTATATATATGCGTATATTCTTGCGAACGACAAGAAAAAATAAGAATCCATTATTGGCATAAAATGAAAAGCAGAAATCGGATATGTGTATTATTTATTATAGGGAAATATAATTACATACCTTCAATTTTATAACAAATTAAATATAGTCTTGAATATATATATATAATATAGTATTCTTAATTTTAAGAGAATCGTTGAATCTTAACTCTCAAGGGAGGACTCTATAAAAGTCCCCGCACTATTACCCCTTAGGATCCATCCAATTCCGATTGCCATTAACTGCCAAAATTTTTTACAGTGTACGAAAATGGAATTATACACTTTAAAAAAATTAGGGAGTTAACGATACTAAGCAGTAAAAAAAACGAGTTGAATTTTAACTCCTCGGGGGATGCTATAAAAGTCCCACCCATATTGGGGAGTTAAAGCAAAGGGAGTTCAGATTAGGGAGTTCAACTTTAACTCCTCACACGAGTTGGAGAATATGATTCTCCATTATGAAATAACTCAAAAGGGATCTGAACTCCCTAACCTGAACTCATCCCTTCCACTCTTGGTTAACTCCTTTTTCGAGTTGATTTTTAACTCAAAAAATCGAACTCCCAACTCTTAGTACTGTTAACTCCTTAAATTTTTTACAGTGTAGAAGTTGGGAGTTCGATTTTTCGAGTTAAAAATCAACTTGAAAAAGGAGTACGTTAACCAAGAGTGGAAGTCAGTTCAGTCTCAATAACTCCTTTTTGAGTTATTTTATAATGGAAGATCGTATTCTCTAACTCGTATAAGGAGTTAAAGTTGAACTTCCTAATCTGAACTCCCTTTGCTATATAACTTCCTAATAGGTGGGATTTTTATAGGGGGATGTCTATATAGACACCTCAACTTGAAACTTGTGTAAAAAAGGTGTCTATTTAATATAAAACTATTATTATATATAATGATTTTTATTTGTTTTTTAGTAAGGAAAACAATAGTTTTATTAATTTTTTGATAAATTAAAAAAAAGTAGAAAAAAAACTTGCAAAAACGAAAACAAAAGACGAAAAATTTGCCGAAATTTGAATTTTGCTTGGGTGTCTATAGACACCCCAGTTACTCCTTATATGGTTAAAATCATTGAGTTCATTTTTGCGGGAGTCAGTTATAGGAGTCAAAAGGATTCATATTTTAGTAAAGGATAGCTTATAATTCTCACTACCAAAATTAAAATTCCCATTCCGCACTGGTTTTCATGATATGTATATAAGATATTTTGTTTTGCAGTATACAAAGTTATACTATGTTTTAATATATTTACAACTATAAGCACTTCTGAAAATTTGTAAACCAATATATAGGATAATATAGTATTTTAAAAATTATATTTTGCTAAAAATGATGAGTTGTCACCATCTTGCCATTAATAATATAAATTTTTCCCATGATTTCAAGCAAAAGTTCCAAGAAATTTTTCTCCGTGCGTAAAGTGACTGCTGATAATTTTTGGCCCATTTTAGTATTGGAGATCTTATAGGAGTCTAAAAAAATCACTCAAGATTCATTGCGCAAATCATTGCACTGTAAAAAAAAGGAGTTGAATTTCAACTCCCTAGGGGATGCTATAAAAGTCCCAGCCTAGGGAGTTAGTTTTAAGGAGTTAATTTAATTATTATAATTCTCTTTTTGAGTTGATTTTTAACTCTAAAAATTGAATTCCCAACGCCCAGTGTTGTTAAAGTCCCTAATTTTTTTTACAGTGTACATTGAAAAAAAATTTATTTGATTCAAATAAGTTTAATTTTCATTAGTGAAATTTCACTGATTCTGATTAGGAGAAGATTTTTGATGTAAAACAACTTTAAAAAAATTAAACCATCCCCAAATTACAGATTGAATATTTTTACTACTTAAATGACATATATATATGTGTGTGTGTGCGATGATCAAAAACAGCAGAGAGGACATATATACCGTATATACCAATTTAAAAAAATTCTGAAATATATATACTGACGGGTGAACAATATTGCCACGTGGGTAAAATTTGCAGAAAAGGGGTGAAATATATATATAAAAAAAAAAAATGAATGCAAGGTCACCTTGAAAAAGTAGTCTGATGCCCTGAGGGTCATTGTAATTTTAGGACAGCCAATTCTTTTTTTGATGAACACACACAAAAATATGGCATCTGTTGCCATTATATGTATGTGTGTGTCGTTAATAATGTTGAAAATCGCTGCTGATGCAGGGTTTACTTCTTGGTAGCCCTCGTTAGTGTTTGTTGTGCAGAAGCAACGAATTCATATATATATATATAAATATATTACGTGCTGTATATATATATATATATATATAAAGGTGGGATAACCCACACACAGAGCTGTTTGATCATATATACCATAGTACGAGGTGGAGACCAGCAAGACGTTAAGTACGTCTCGTAAAAATTCCATCGAGCCAGCGTCATTTTGCCGAGGGGCTGACGGTACCAGGGATTGGTGGGTTGGCCTCGCGTTGTAGACGCCTACCTGGCGGTACCAAACGCCCCTCGTGAGCTCCACAATACTTTGATCTTTGCCGTTCAAAGTCACGATTGTGTGTGGCCGTGGCAGAAGACGAACTCCCTCCCACATCGAGACGAGAAGGAGCAACTGGAAGCAGGATCAGTTCAAACCACTTCGAGTCACTCGAGCGAACTGACTGACTGTGTGTATATCGCTTTTGCGCCTATTCGACTCGTTCACTCGGCTTAAGTTTACATTTATTTTTTTTCTATTCAATCCGTCGCGTATTTCATTCACAGTGCAGTGCACGACAAATTGACAGAAACGTTAATATTAATTTCGTTTAAAAGAAAAAAGGAAAAACTATTCTAGGTGTTTATTTGTGTTGTTGACAAAGTTTGGTGATAGTGTTGGTGAATTTTGATGGGGGTTTTTGTTTTTTTTTGTTATTGATTATACCTGTATATGAATAGAGTGTTGCAGTGAGAAATATGTTCTAGATGGAACGAGGATTGTGGAAGAAGGTACCGAGAATTTCGAGTACCTAATCAGGAACTTGATGTGATTATGTGCACGACGGAAATGACGGAAGCGTTTACAATGTCGCCGTCGACAGCTTCTTCCAGTGGTACAACCACTGTTTGTTTGGGATCGCCTAATCATCAGCGATTATCGAGAAGAAATTCGCCTAATCGACCCCCTGAGATACAGGATGACGATGATGAGATTTCGGTTGGTTGTCCAAGTCCACTGCCACTTGTGGTCGTCACACCAAATGATGATGAGGAGAGACTGAGTTCATCGAGAGAGGAATATAGCGAGAGACTGAGTCCAAGGAGTTACCAGGATACAATTATTGACGATGATGACAGGTACTCGAGGGATGATGATCATTATAGAATTCGTGATAGAATAACCGGTTCGCGAATATTGGGAAGTGATGTGACATCATTGAGGGACATTGATGAAGAGACTGAGGACGATGGGAGAAATCGAAATGGCAATGGTAACACGGGCGGTGCCGATGATTATTTTAAGCCTTTAAAACGACTGAAAATGGTGCCGATTCAACAGTCGGACGAAGAAGATGAACGTGAGAGGGAAACAAATGAACGTGGTGTTAAATCTTTCAGTATTCTTGATATTCTATCTCATAGACCAAAGGCTAAAATTGTGAGACCATGGGATACGGCCGAGTCAAATTTAAATCATCATCGACAACATCCACATCATCATCATCATCACCACCACACGCCACATACGGGACCTAGAGATCTTTCCTTAATGGGAATGTCATTGGCATCTATTTCCGGATCCATCAGTGAACCACCATTAAGTAGTTCCTCTTCGTCCGGTAGGAGTTCAGTTTCCGATTCGGGAAGTCCTGATCCTTTGGTGCATCATCATCACCATCATCATAGTGTTCATCATGGATTGCATCCAGGTTTACATCATCCGGCGATGCAGCAACAATTTAAAAGAAAAGCTTCTCAGCAACACAATTCACAAAGTGGACAAAATGGAAAACGACAACCGGGACAAGGAAGTCCTCTTGATGCTCTCTTTCAAATGACGAGCAAAACTTTCGATGCTGGCGAACACAGTCAAGGTAGTTATTTAATTATATAGATATATAAATTATAAAATTATACAATATTACAATGTAAGAAATTACAAATTGATTGATAATGATTGTCTCAATACACGCGGGTATCATTAGTTTTTATTCAACTTGCAAAATGAATTTCCGTCAGGTAACATTTATGAAATTTCAATAAATAATAGAGGCACTAACTATAATTTCCTATTATTACTAGCGTCAGTGATACGTGATAAAAATTTCCTTTCTCGAATAACTTTTTAATATTTTTTTTTGTCGGAAAATTCTGATTAGTAGTCATTGATGTGAATAAGTTGTCAACGAGTTCACTTCCCTGTCATCGGCGGAGTTGATTATTAAAGAGAAGGGGACACATATTAACATATATTTCTTTGAACATATAACTGCGACTGTTACATGGACATTTCCATTTTGGTTCTTACCAATGCCGATTTGTAATTAGATGACTGCAAATTCTTTATGCGAGATGGATCTATTATTATCTTAAATGGCAGGTGTAAAACGCAAATTAAGTTGTTTCATGATTTAGATAATTTGAAACAGTTAATATATACCGCATCTCATATGACATATTAATCTAAATCAAAAATTTTTAACGAATTATGATAGTATAATTTTTATTTGTACTTCTATTTTACAATTGTAATATAAAAAAAAAAGAATAATTTCTGCATTTGTAGAAAAATATCACATTTAAAATATTTTGCTCAAGGGTATATTATCGTGTTTCATCAAAATACAAGCTATCAAAAGCTTATGCATATTAACCACGTATAAATGAATCAATCACTTATTATAACAAGACAGTATATGTCATAACAAGATGATAATTGATCATTAGCATTATTCATGCTACACTCTCTCGTGTGTTGCGATTATTATTATTTTTTTTTTTCATTAATAAAGAATATATGCATTTATTGTATTACGCGCACGTTTTGTCATTCAAATGGATTTGTCGTGTTTTATTCCAGAAATTATATTTTTTTTCCAGCGTGTTAATTTATTGCTTGTTGAGTTATACAAAGATAATGTCTCATAAATGATTCACTAGTTTAAATTATTAATAGGAAAAATTATTTTCCAATTTTATGAAATTTCATAAAGATATATTTTCGAGAATATTTTCCAAAATCTGTTTTAGATTCAATTAAGTACCTGGATTTTATTTTCTAGGACACGAAAATAAAATTAGGTTATTTTGAGAAGTTTAAAAGTTGTTTGGAGATCCTATATTATATAGGAACAAAACCATAAACCCTAGTTTTTCGTAACGGTGGGTCGCCCTTCGTAAATTGAATTTGCCATCATTGCCCAGGATTAAACAGCCTCGTAACAAAGTTCTTTAAATGATCGTCGTAAACTTAAAAATGTTTATGGAAAGTGTGGTTTGGAGGGGATATAATATGGAATACCTAAGCACACTTAAAACCTAAACTAAACGAAAATTTTGGTCGTTTTTACCCTCAGGCATTTTAAGTTGTATATATATATATGTATGCTCTGGCCTCTTTCCTTCTGCTTCTGCTCGAAAATGAAGGGAAAAAAACATATACCTAAAGTGGTTGTTGGCTCCCTTATCTCAATGTATATAATATTCTCCTTTTTGAGCCCATTTTACGCAATCTGAAAGCTTAATATTTATCCTCCTGATCATCCATATTGTTTACGATTCGAACAAGTAAATCGGTTTATGGCACCTCTTTCCTGATCCTTTGTCAACATTGTATATCTATACGATTTAGAGGCTCCAACCGTTTATAAAGCTTCGAAAACTTTCTTTTAATGCATATATAAACATGTGGCATCCAAGTTTTCAGAATATTATATATATATTTATTTTGTTTTATTATTGCATTCACACTTAACCAGATTCTATTACGTAATAAGATTACGTATTGGAGGAAAAAAATTTTTCAATTCTTTCTTTTAGAATTTGTTCGAAAAAAAACTGAAGATTTTTGCACTAACAAAAAAAAAGGATTTTCCATCTTAATATATTCGTGAGGAAACACAAAGTTTCTTTTCCATTTAAAATTTATATTTATATTCTGGATTAGTCCTCTATGAATGAATTTTGTATTACATAGAAATATTGCGTTATTTCTTTATCCTTTTGGGAAAAATTTGTTTCAAAAATATAGACAAAAAATTCTGTCCATTTGAGTGATACATGTATAAACTTTAGAAAAAAAAATTTTTCATTCAAATAATCGGTTAATACTTTATCAAATAAATATTTACTTAAGCCAAATAATTTCTATTTGAATTAAATAAATTGTATTTGAACCAATAATTTCTGTATTTGAAACAAATATAACATTTATAAGGTATAAATACTCTCTATACCGTCACTTATGCTTCAGTAATTGTCACGCAAGTAATTTGAGAATTTAAAGCAATGTATTTAAATAATAATAATTATAATATATTATTATTTATGTAAAAATAATTATTTAATACAAATAAATATTTCTTCAATAACGATAATATAGGCAAGTAATCGATTATTTGAATCAAAATTTTTTTTTCAGTGAAGAAATATGAAAAATTGGGAGTACGAATTCGATCTAAAATGCAACCTATTTAAATTGAAATGATTGTAAATCTTAATCAGTGTCTGGGGGGGGGGGGTAGAAACGAAGGAGACTTTCTCAAGGTGACGTCGAAATCGAGTGCGAGATAGTTAGTTATTGGTGCTCGAGTTCCGTTTCTCGATTTATTTATATTTTTCGCTTATTTGTACCTATATATGAGAAAGTTGGAAAAGAAAAGAATATATGAAAACTCGTATAAGTATATATATATATACGTGACAGGAGCAGGACACGTAAATAAAAATACCAAGTATAGGTTCGTGCTCATGTGCATGTATGTACAAGGAGTTCGTATAATTTTCGGTCTACCTATACAGGGATAATTTATTATTCTCGACTCGAACATATGCATCATTTACATATAGCGTGATACACAAACGCGAACAGCCGACTTCCGACGGCAAAAACTAAATCGTGAAAATAAGTATTTAAAAAAAAGAAGATGAGCTTTTTTCTATCATCCTTTTTTTTTACTTTGACGTATTTTTATATATATAATGAAATTTGCTTCTAAAATTGTGTAAATAAAAGAATTTAAAAACAAAAAAAAAGTTGTTTCATATTCCCATGCGATGGCACATCAAAAAGAGTTACGTCATTCGTTTGGACATTGGGAATATGAAATCGAATATTGAAGATGGTTGCGGAACATTATTTGATACGTGTTCAATTATGGATTCAAAGGTTGAGAATTCAAATTATATTACTTATATTGTGGTTCACCAATATATATAGTGGATGGTGGAGGAGGAAAGAGAGTGTAGATCGATGGCTAATAGCTATATAGATATAGGTATTGCCCTAGCCTGCGAGTTTATGGGCGGAAGATCAGCAGATGCACATCTCATCTCGAGAAACTCGGTATAGAAAGAGAGAGAGAGAGAGAGAGAGAGCCTTCTGCACGGTAGCCTCACGTTTCCGCAATTTACTTCTTATTATTACGCCCTCTATATTTATGCGGCATTCTTTTCCTTCCGCGGTACCTTTTCGATTCAACTCATCCTCTTTCTCTCTCTTTCGTTTCATTCTCATTTTGTCTCCACTCTCCATTCTTCGTCGAATGAACTTATCAAAAGTATCATTCATATATTGATATATTATTATTATTATTATTATTACAATTTCTTGACGAAATTATTAAAATTGAAATAATTTTATCAAAATAATACATTGAAATACTCCACTCAATTGAAATTTTACGAATAAATGATTAACAAAATTCAGCTTATAATAATAGAATTGAAGAGAGGGATAGAGAATAAAGTGAACACACTGAGAGTAGAGGCCACAAATACATTGTATTTTGCGTCCTAATTCGAAACACATTTGCAGAAATTGTCATTCCATTCTTATATATAATTTTTGACCTTCGCTTGCATAATAGACCGAGAGCAATAATTTTCGCTTTAAACTCTCGCAGCGAGCGCAACAAATATGTTCAACAATATCTGTTGGAATTGTCGTGTGTGTGTGTGTGGGGGGGGGGTTCCGAAAAAGCTTAGAAAAAAGGGAGAGAGAAACACAAAATAAAACCAGAAGCAATTTAAATTTTTTTTTTTTTTTCAAAAACCACTTGAATATACAAATTTATTGAAGAGAAGGGTCGTTCTTCAGGTCAAATTGTTGTGACATTTTACCAAATATACAAAATACCATCCGCCCTCTTGAAACTTTTTATTCATGCTTCAAACTGGCACCCGCTGTTAAATATGGGGCCTCTCCATTCACTTTTCAAATGAGCCTTATTTTGCAGACACGTTTTTTCTATTTTTTTTTTATTTTTATCTCATTCGTTTTGAAAACGTGACAATAAACATATATTGAATACTTTGTGTGAAATTGAATTTTTCTAAAATCACACGACATATATATATATATATATATGCGTGGGAATAAATTTATGCAATAATTGTATCGAAATTGTCACTTAAACAAATTTGACATTTAATCTTTTTATTTAACCGAATCGCTATTTTATTGAATTGTTTTACCAAATTGCACATATATTTAAACAAAAAATTGACATTTAATAGAAATGTCATTTAAGCAAATTTTTATTAAAACAATTTGCTAAACATAATAATCGATTTTCTTTTTTGACAAAATTTTTATTTAACCGAATTGCCGTTTTGTCTAATTATTATCATTAATTCAAAATGAAATTTACATCCAAATTGCCAATTAAACAAACTGACATTTAACGAAATTGTCATTAAATCAAACTACCATACATACATATATAACTATTAATACTTTGTCATTCAAAAAAATTGTCATTTAACTAAATATTCATTATTTCGATTTCTTTTTTTTTTTGACAAAATTGTCACTTAACCGATTTGCAGTTTTTCTAATTGTCAATAATCAAAAATGTAATTTATATCTAAATTG